TAATGAAATTCAAGCAAAGTCCACAAATTAATAGTATTATACTAATGTCTATTTTCTGATTTAGAAATTATGCTATGATTATCAAAGATGTTATTATTGGAAAAGCTGAGTAAAAAATACACAGAAGCTAATTTTTGCAACTTCTTGAAATTCTTAAATTATTTTAAAATAACAGTTTTTGAAATAACTTGTTTGATTTTTTTCAGATTTGTATTGAATTTATATTAATAGTTCTGAGAAAATTTGCAGTATTTCCACTGGAACTTGCAGTCAATAATCCTAGTCTGTTTTTCAACTTATTTTTTGATCTTGGTTCACTTTTTAAAAGTATATTACTTTTTCCTTAGAGAAGTTATACAACTTTATTAGATTTATTCCTAGATATTTCATATTAACACTACTTATGCTTTTTAAAACTTCCTTTTTAATTGTTTTGCTAGACAGTTCACTCTTCATTCCATTTCATCTGGCTTCCCTTTTTCCCCCTTATTGCTTTCATTGTGGACACGCATGACCTCTACATGCTCAATCATATCACATTTCAGGCTTCACTTTAATTGGTCTCTTAGAATTTAGTGCTGAATTTGTGCATCATCCTTGCTGTCTTTGGGTGACTTTTTTTTCATGAACATCTTTAATACTGAGGATACTGCTGGCCCAAAGATAACATGTCTGTGTCCTTTTAGATCCAGTCAGAAAAGCTGGATTAACCCCTGTGCATTCAGGAAGATTTACCAAAGAAAAGGATTGTGGAGCTGGTGACTGCTAGAGTCATGCTGACACACTGAGACGCCTGCTAGGAAGGGGAACGTTAGCAGGCTCATGTATCTTCTCTACAGTAATCTACAAATGCATACATTTGTCCTCCAACCTTGATTAGTTCAGACTCACATATCGCTTCAATTTAAAACATATTTATTGATAGAAAATAGTGCCTATAAATGCAAGTTTGTTAATGGCTGAATTATTGTCTAAACATGTCTTCATTTCATTTTAATCCTGAGGAATATTTTCTCTGGATATAGAATTCTAATGGTGGTGGTTATCTTATTTTGGCATATTAAAGATATCACCCACTAACATCTAGCTTGTTTCTTCTTGAAAATTTAGCTGTAAATCTAATGACCTTCTGGATGTCTTTAATTCTCTGAATTGCTTTTTAATATTTTATCATTTTCTTTGACTTTCTGAAATTTCACAATCCTGCTGTATTTTTTTGTTTCTCCTGGAGCTTCTTGAATCTCTGGGCTTATATTTTCCATCAGTATTGGAAAATTCTGAGCAATAGTATATAAAGAAATACCATATTGCAAAAAACATTAACGCTTTAAGCCAAACGTAAGTAATTTCCAAAATGAATACTGCATGATTGCATTTGTCAATATTTAAAACAAGAAAAAAATAGTGTGATAAAACTATAAAATGAAACAATGGTTAGATTCCATAAAAGAAAGGATAGTTTTTCCCATAAATTAAGATGAAGAGAGTGTAGAAAGGAAGGAGTATTTGGTATGAGGGGTTTCTGTGGTTCAGATAAGAATCAATTTCCCAACCTGGTTTATAGCTTTACTTATTTTTCCTTAAAACAATTTAAAGTATTGATACTTGGGGGTTACAAAAAGAGGTACACACATTATAAGTGATGTTGTCTATGTATTATATATTATGGATATATTTTGAGTGCCTCTTGAGAGAAGTCAAACGTGGCTTGTATTCATCCTTTGTTATTGGCATATGTTGAGTATTACAATTAAATACAGTTTTTTTTCATTCTTTAAATGTGTATACATTTTTTGAGCCTTCTGTGTATGTTTCATGCATTTTTTGGTACATGTATCATATTTTGACAATATAAAAACCTCACACCTATGCACATACACAATGAGAGAAAGAAAAGGAGGAAACTGCTAATGTAACTGGGCAGAGACAGCCTCTCTGAATATAAAAGGATTATTTTTATAGTGTGGAGGGAGACATTTTAAAAGTATATAATGAGTCAGCAATAGAAACAGGTAAGTGTCTCTATTGCCCCCTGGGAAGCACTGGCAGTGTGCGAAGAAGTCACTGACCATGGCCTTCATGTGCTGGTGAAGTTACCGCAGAAAGCAAAGGGTGAACCCCTCATTTCTCCTTAACTGAAGTCACTCTTGGAAACAGTTCTCAGACTAAAGCTAGGTTTGTTGACACAGCAGATTAAAGTCCAGAAAGTTTTACTTAATCTGTAAGCTATAGCAGGAACGATGGATAAATTATTAGCTACTTCCTCACCCTTGAATCCTGGACCTACCTCCCTGGTCATTTCCATGTCCATGATATCTTCCTCAACCCTCAGCACAGCAGAAATGAACCACCTAGGGGACTGTGAGCATTTGAGCAGCTCAGGGGTTCCCAGAACATGTTAAGGCTGGCAAGTGTCATAATAGAAAAGAAAATAGACATAAGGACTCCACAGATTCACTTCTTTTATATTTTGTCTTAGATGTGCACATATTATCTGAATATTTCCTCCATCTTTCATCTTGCTCAGGCTGGTGGAACCATTCTGATTTCATCTAGTTCTAGTCTGCCTGAGATGCACTGCTCACCTGCCTGAGGGAAGTGAGGCAGGCTGTTCTGATCTGACCATTCCTTCAAACCCTGCTCGAGAAAAAACTCTTCTTTCCCTGCTGGGTCACTGATGGGAGTCCTATGGTTTGAGAAAACTCCAGAATCTAAGGCCATTGGTGCCACCGTGAAACAGTAACTGTGGTTCTTCATCTTGTTTACCTACCTCATCAGGTGTTGGATCTCCCTAAGCTGAGATTTCTTTTCTCAACTCTGGTTCTCACCCCCAGCCTATTCAGAAAGATTATTATATGAAAACATCTCAATCACTGATGAAACTCGGGATGTGTTGCTGAATCCCCTGTGAGAAGAAAATTTTTTAAAAATAATAATAGCTGATTGAAAGGTGAATTTCCATTCAAAAAACATCATTGTTATTTATTTTCATGATAATACTGGAGATACAAACTAAAAATTCTAGCCCATAATCTAAGCATCTTCTAATCTAGCAGTTCTCATCCTGTGGGTCGCAACCCCATTGTAACACTAAAAATACATCACAGCATTAGGAAGGTTGAGAACCTCTGTTCTAATCACACATGGAGACATAATTAAGTACCATTCAGGCTCAGAGTTGAAGTGTAAGCCAGAGCTTACTCTTGTGCACTAACTGCATCTCCAGAACTCTGTTTCAGAAAAGGGGATCATTAAAAAGGGCTTTACAGATTGAATGGATTCTAAAGCAATAGTTCAAAAGAGATCCCTGAATACTTCTAAGTTATGGATCTGAAATTAATGACATAAGGAGAATTTGGGGTGGGGTGTAAGCCTTAAAGTGATAAGAAAAAAAGCATTAGAGGCAAAAATAAAATGAGACCCATAATGACAGAGACCCAGTAAAAAAAAAAAATTAGGTATTAGGGCCACTAACAGAAAGAGTATGCATTTGAGAATATTTTAGGGAAAAAGTTAATGTAATAGGGTTCACATATGTGCAAGGAATATAAGTGAATCAGTACATGGGGAAGAGGAAATTTCTGCTTTGGGGTAAGTCCAATAATAACAGAAGTGTCATCAGGTGAGATACAGTTTCTGACAGGGCAGAAGAGAACCTCTCCTCCTTTTGTATAGGCTGCCATTAGACAGAGAATTAAATATAGGATCCCTGGAAGAAAAGGAGGGGGGATCACCAAAGGTAAGAGAAAGAAATGCAAAGATGCAAGAGGAGATCCTAAATTTCAGGACAGTGGAAGTAAAGAAAGGGAGATTTCTGCCAGCGAATATACTGAACACAAAAATCAGTGCTGTCCTGTGTGTGTGTGCACTTGTGGTACATGAGCACTTCTTGGTGTTATTTCAAACCTTCACAATAGGTGCCCCAGGTAAGCAGTTGACTTACTGCTTGGTGCATGCCTCTCTTCTTCTGTGCATGGGAATGCCAATTTTCTCTTTTGGCATGTAACAATAACCTCCATAATTTCATGGATGTAAAAATCTCTTCCATGCTTCACTCTTGTTCCTATCACTTCAGCCAACAGTTGGCTGAGACCACTAACCCACTTTGCTATAGACCTATATTGTGCCTTATTGCAAACTGCCTCCTTCCGATTGCTGTTTCCCTTCTCTATTGTTTTTCCCTAAACATTGGCATAGACCCTTCCCTCAATTGTCTGCAGTGACAACAGAGACAAATCTCCAACTTCCATTGCAACTTACTGCTACTACCCTGACTTCTAACCTGGCCTGACATCATGTAAGAGTGAGTAACTATGCTGGGCATTGTGGCAGGTGCCTGTAGTCCCACCTACTTGGGAGGCTGAGGCAAGAGAATCACTTCAGCCCAAGAGTTTGAGGTTGCTGTGAGCTACGATGCCATGGCACTCTACCAAGGGCATCAAAGTGAGACTCTGTCTCAAAAAAAAAAAAAAAAAAAAGAGTAAGGAACTTCATTCCCCTCATGAGAATCCTCTGTTGGTGCCTCTGAGAAGAAATTTCCCATCTACTCTCTTCTCCTTTGCCCAGAGTTATGCAATTAATTTTTAATTTTTCTATTCTCAACCTTTCTTCTTGCCTTCTGGCCTCCTTGCATTTCAGTTACTTGTATGTATACATGTTCTCAACTATAATGCACATTTGGTATAGATGTCTGGGAATTCTACCCATCCAGCCCAGATTTATCTTTGTGTTCTTCCACAGTGCAATATGGTAAAAAGGCCATGGAACCTGGAATCAGAAATTCTGAAGGGTAGAATTGGAATAAATCAGGTTCACGACTTCCTCAGCCATTTCCCCTCCCCCCAAACTGATAAGAAGTTAAGGAGTCACTGATTTCCCTAGGAACAGGGTAGGACTCCAAAGGACTTCCACAGTCTCATGCCCCACCCTTCCCTGGGAGGCCCAACCTTGCAGGTGTATAAATAGGTACTCCACCCAGGCTGGCCCTGGCTTCTTCCAAAATGGACAGGTCCCTCATGCTGGGACTCCCTATCCTGCTGTGCTGCTTTACAGGTCAGTCCCTAAAGCTGATAGGTGGTGAGATGTGTCTAGCATCAGGAATGGTTCAGAGCTCCTGTCACAGAACCCTGCTAAGGTAGCGGAGGCATGGCAAGCTGCTGCTCAAATGCTGTGCTCCCACCCAGTGTGCCACGTCTCTGGGAACTTAAACAAAGGCCTTCACTCTCCCCTTATGGGAGTAAATAGGCAGACTGGAGAGGAATTGAGAGGACTACACAGCGGCTGTGAAGTGGGGTCTGGAGAATGAGGTCTGAAGACAATGAGTTGGTTTTTTTGTTTGTTTTTTCCCAACAGTACTATCTGGGTCACTTCTACACAGAGATGACACTGGTGAGTAAAACGATGATATGCGAGAAGGCTTGAGGAGAGGATGTGGGAGGGGCAGGGTGGGTGAGTCTGGGTGGGGTTGGGGGATATGAACAACACAGAAATAGACCTTGAGTTTCAATAATCTCTCTCAGCAGAACAGACTGGGCTGGGAGCTGATGTTAGGTTTGACAAAGTAATATTGGCAGTAACTGATGAGGCTAAGAGGGAGGATCATAAAGGGCCAGGATAAGGAAAAGCTAGAGACAGGATATTGACTTTGCAGGACCTGCTTGGCCAAATTTGAAGTATAGCAATGTCATGAATTTCAGGTCCTTGTCCCCTTTGTAAGAGTCTAGGCACACATGGATAAGAATGTCACATAGGGCCTTCTGGTCTGTTGGGCACTTGTAGGAATGAGCATATGAGCCTGACACTCTCTGAAGAGGAGAGAAAATGGAAGGAGAAAAGAGATACGAAGGTACCTAGCAGGTGATTAGGCTTTGGAGGGGCAGACACGGCCTGGAGTAGCCTCATGTGAACAGTGAAGGAGGGACCCTTAAGGGGAGTTACAAAGAGCCTATGCAAGGCTGAATCTCAGACAAAATTAGAGATTTGTTTTATTTCTCTTTGCCAGCACAGACAATGAAATAATTGTTCAGGAAGACAATTATTATGGTGAGTGTGAAGAGACCTAATCTGATCACCTCTCTCTCTCTCGATAGTATTGCCCTCCTTCCCCTTCCAACTTTCCTTCCCCTTCTACTTTTCAGGCTAAAACTCCTAAGACCATAAACTCAAGTCACTCTTTTGACTTAGCCTGTTTAAGTGGAGACAGGTGTCATGCCTAATGGGGATGGCCCCTGGCTCCAAGTGAACTTCAAACCCTTTCATGTTCATGACACTTCCTCTCACTTCTATTTCCCTTCTTCCTGGCCAAGGCCTACAAATTATTCAGTGCAGGATGTGCCACCTCCAGTTTCCAGGGGAAAAGTGCTCCCGAGGACGAGGCATATGCACTGCGACATCACAAGAAGCCTGCACCGTGGGGAGGATTTTCAGAAGTAAGTTGTAGGTTGGGAAAAGAAGAAGGGGTGGAGGAAACAGACAGGGACACTACAGCCACAGTGAAAGAGGGGCCTTAATTTACTTTACTACAGGCAGTCTCATGCCCGGATGGCTAATATCTCTCCCCACATCATATACATAATGAAAAAGAGATAGAGAATGTCATTAAGGGTGGACGTATGTAGCTAAGGAGATATTTTGAGAAGCCTGAAGAAAGTAAAATGAATTAAGGTAAGGGAAGAGGCATGATCTAGCCCAATGAATAACAGTGAGTCCTTGGGGTAGGGGGAGCTCTTGGTCTCTGTGCCTGCCTAGATTTCCTCATGGACAGTTCTAAACTACAGAAACAGAGGGGCCAGTGTCAGTAGTAGACACTAGCTAAATGGCCACTGACCAGTAAGACCAAACATCAGAATTTCTCCCTTTTCCCACCCTCTGTGCTAAATAAGCCTTCAGCATTTATAACCCTTACTTTAACCAGTGTTAAGATTCTCAGTACAAAAAAAAAAAAAAAAAAAAAGATTCTCAGTACAAACATCTAGCTTTGGCAATCCCTGGAATGCTGCTCTCCTAAGCACTGTAGTCCCAATAATTTTTTTAGAAAGCTCTACCATTGCTTTTTCTTTTGGGAAGCCTCCAACTTGCAACATCTTTCTAGGTTTTGTTTGTTTGTTTGTTTGTTGTTGTTGTTGGGGATTCATTGAGGGTACAAAGAACCAGTTTTTTTCTTTTCTGTTGTTGTTGTTTTCAGACAGTCTCACCCTCAGTAGAGTGCTGTGGCATCAGAGCTCACAGCAACCTCCAATTCTTGGGCTTAAGTGATTCTCTTGCCTCAGCCTCCCAAGTAGCTGGGACTGCAGGTGCCTGCCACAACACCTGGCTATTTTTTGTTGCAGTTGTCATTGTTATCTTAGCTGGCCCGGGCCAGGTTTGAACCCACCAGCCTTGGTATATATGTCTGGTGCTGTAACCACTGTACTATGGGTGCCGAGCCCAGGTTTGTTTTTTTTTTTGGGGGGGGGGTTGTTTGTATTGTTGAGACAGAATCTCACTTTGTTGCCCTTGGTAGAGTTCTGTGGCATCACAGCTCAAAGCAACCTCAAACTATTGGGCTTAAGCAATTCTCTTGCCTCAGCCTCCCAAATAACTGGGATTATAGGCAACCACCACAACATCCAGCTATTTTTAGAGATGGGGTTTCACTCTGGGTCAGGCTGGTATTGAACTCGTGAGCTCAGGCAATACACCAGTCTCAGCCTCCCAGAGTGCTGTGGGTACAGGCATGAGCCACTGCTCCTGGCCCCCATCTTTCCTGTTTTCTTTGCATATGAATAACAGAGCCTCAAACTACACAAGGTTATTTTTCTATACTGCTATGATCTGGAGAGGTTTGTCTGCAGGCACCGCAGGGCCAGATTTGCTGATATTTGTTTCTCCTTCCTCCCACAGAGGATGGAACTCCCTGGTTAACCTTCATGGGCTGCCTAAAGAACTGTGCTACTGTGAAAAACATAAACTGGGGTGTCTATTTGGTGAACTTCAACTGCTGCAGGGGCTATGACCTCTGTAATGAAATGCTTTAGAAGTTGCTAGTTCTTCTGTGGCTCCAATGTCAGGCTGGGGTTGTTGTCTAAGACTCTTCACAATGACATCCTAAAAAAATCACTTCACGGGAGGATTGTGAACACATGTTTATACCTTCTTCATATGAAATAAAAATCCATCTCCTTTTTTAAAGTCTCTGTCCTGCTCCTTAAAATAAATAAGTAAGTAAATAAATAATGAACTTTGAGAACAAGATCAAGGTCAATATATCCTGCAGGTTGCCACAAACCCTAGTGCTACCACTGTGTAACCAAGCTGTTCAGAAAAGGAGGAAAAGGATAATTCAATGTTATAAAATATCCCTTCATCTTTCTTTTGCTTCTTTCTTTCCTTCTATAGAAGAATATTTTGTTTTTTGTGTTTCTTTCTCTATATATCATTCTTCAGATCCCACTCCAGTCAAAGCGTGTTAATGCTAACAGCACTATTTCTCCTCATGAAGAGAAATAGCTTAAGCCTCCTTGGATCATCTTCATTCATACTGCTCTCAGGGTGAAAAGAAGATTAGTACACAAGAGTGAATTTGCAACAGAGCCGTGAAAAGAGAACGATTTTCTGCTTTCTAGATTGAGACTCTCTTTGAGGTTGGGAGTTACAGAGGGAATCTGTGAGATTCTAGAGGTAGTGTCTTTCCTGGACAACTCATGAGGAAGCATCAATAGACAGAAAGAAGTTGTAGGGTGCCTCCAAGGAGATGAGACTACCAGCTGCCTCATGATACTCCCATATCTGAGGCACAGCACAGAGGAAGCTGAGAGCTGCAAGATCTGAGGAGGCCATTTGGGTCTAGCCACGGGACATCTCCTCAGCAACTCCTGTGGACAGAAGTTCCACAACCAGATGCATGTCCTACCCCACCTCCCTGCCACACACACTCAAGCCTTCCAGTGTATAATTACAGCATCCTGGGGGAAGACAGGGGTTGCAACAAGTCTGCTCACAAGAATTCAGACTGTTTTCTAACAAACTGGAAGAATGAAGCCTGAGAAACTCAATGGCTTCATAAGAGCATTATTCTTTCCAATAGCTTCCATGGGGTGTTGTGTATTACCTCAAGTCTGCTGATCCAATGTTGTTGCTCTTTAGCATCTGTGGCTCTGAGTTTATACTGTTCCCCGCTGGCAGCATTTACAGTGAAGGTGTGAGAATTCTCATCACTGGGTGGTATCACAGCTCCTGCACACTGCAAAGTACCTCTAGGTTTTTGATTCTCTAGACTGTTCATTCACAAAGTATTCCAGTAGCCCCGCTTCATTGTTTAAAACAAAAACTCTGTACTGCCACCCAGTGACAAACTTGGTGTACTTCATTAAACAGCCATAAACCATTTTCCACGTTACCACAGTGCAGCTAGCCTTTTGTATCAGCCCTATAGCTGCTGCTGCTGCGGCTGCTTCTGTTGCTGGTGTCGCTGTGTCCAGGCCCTCCAACTTTCCTTGGACTTCTGAGACCTTCACTATTGACATTTTTTTTTTTTGAGACAGAGCCTCAAACTGTCCCCCTGGGCAGAGTGCCGTGGCATTACAGCTCACAGCAACCTCCAACTCCTGGGCTCAAGCGAGTCTCCTGCCTCCGCCTCCCAAGTAGCTGGGACCACAGGCACCCGCCACAACACCCGGCTATTTTTTGGTTGCAGCCATCATTGTTGTTTGGCGGGTCCGGGCTGGGGATTTGAACCCACCACCTTAGGTGTACGTGGCTGGCGCCTTAGCCGGTTGAGCTATAGGCGCCGAGCCACTATTGACATTTTAACTCCACAGTCCATTTGCCTTTCTTGGGCAGGAGAGAACAACTCTGTAGCTTTGTAGGTGGCTTTTGGTTGTGATTGTTGTTATTGTAAGATTTGATCTGAATGTGATCTCAGTTGCTAAGCCAGATGGTGGCTAGAGTGGAAACTGTCAAATGGTCCAAGAAAGGAATATGCATTCCCACTGAAGTTAAGCATTTAAGAGGGCAGGGGTAAAGATGAGGACAAATACCCTTTAGAGATATATATAGCCTTCCTAACAAAAGCAAGGAGGAAAAAAAGTCATCTGGTAAAAGAGCTTTTGCTCTGCTCATTTGTTCAAGTTGGAAAATGGAACCAGGGAAAATATCCCAAGGTAGGGTAAAGAAAAGGAAAATATTCCAAGACTAGAACAATTTTATGTAGGCTGTAAGGACCCCTAACATGAAAGATTATTCTCAGTCAGGAGGAGTTAGTTTAGAACCACACACACTATCAATATAAAATGCCAACACCTAATTTCATTTCCTAACCTGACTTCATCTTGAGTTGGTGTTCCATTCCCAATCAGACAAAATACTTGGTCTTGTCAGCTTAAAATTTAGAGAGGGAATAAAGAAGCAAGAAAAGTTAAGGGGAAAACATTAACAAAATGTGATCTCAGCTGGAGACTAGCTTTAGTTGGAATCCACGGAGAATCTCAGGAACACAAATTACACCACAGACAATTCCATCATGCAAGGAGCCAGCTGATCCCAGGGTGAAGTCTATGCTCAAGTTGAGAACTAAGCCTCTGGGCAAGGCAGCTCCTGCTTGGTAGAGAGCAAATCTCCAGAGAACTGAATAGATATGAGTTGCCATAAGCCAACAGTCAATGAAGCTGGGTACACTAATCAGCAAAAAGAATTTGCATCAAAATCACCCACTATGTAAAATCAAATTCAGTTTTCTGATGCTGAGAATGTCAATGTTTGCTCTTGAAACATAATGAAAGATTTTACAATTAGAGTTCTCCTTTTGCACAACAAAGCCGAACTTTGACTTTGTTAAACACTAATTCAAAAATACTATTAATGTCTATTTTGAACCTCAAAGTTAGACAATGTTCTTTTTTTTTTTTTTTTTCTGGACTGACTTTTACCATCTCCGTGATTCAGTGGATGAAACAGCTCATACTCACATACAACTAGAGCTCACAACTCAAGCTCAATATACCAATGTTAGTTTGGCTTTTCCAATCTGCTTGTCTGTTTTGAAAAAGTTGTCTTCATATATGTCTCCATCCTCACCCTGCAAAATCTGAGAGTTCCTCAGAAAGGATTACATTATTAGACAACATGCAAAGATAGAAGACACCAAACTACTAAAGTAGACTGTTAGTTGCTTCCTTGTGAAAATTTTATATGTCATAATATAAGAGAAAAAAGCTCATGGAAGTCCAGAGCCTGGAACTTCAGTAAGCCTCATAGGGAGAGAAATGCAAGGTTAGTCTGTATCCAAGGACACGTTACTATCTTCGCCTCAATGTGCCACTCCAACAGAGATGCCACTTGGTCTCTCTCTGCCTATTTGCTGTGCTCAGTGTCTTCCTGCTTCTCATCCACCATTGTCACCTTTCGGCCATCTCACACCTTCTACTTACTCACAGCTTCACCTGACAGAGGGTGTCTGTTACTTGAACACTACCTCATAGTATCTGTGTGCATCCTATTATTTTCTACCACTATTCCATTATCAGCTTCCTTTTCTCATTCCCATGAGAAGGAACAAACTAGCTTTCCTTCAGCAATGGCCTCATTCTCAATCCAATCACCTAGTTCAGTTATGTGCCCAAGGTTCTCTGGGCAGCTAAGGCCAAGTTCAAATCAACTCTACCCACACCAAATTGCCTCTCAAATCTTAGTTTCTACAAACTGAAATGCCCCTAAAATTTTTCTTGATGCCTTATCCTGATGTCTCTCTTTTTTCTGCCCTAAGATTCCCCCAAGAGCTGGTTCATGTGGCCTCCAAATTGGGAAGCTAGGGTCAGCTATCTCTAGGACCTAGAGGCAAAAAGACAGTACCAGGAAGTATTAGGATTCATTGGAAGAGAGTGCCAACCTGGAAGAGTGTGTGTGGATGAAGGTAGTCACAGAATTCTTAGGACAAGTTTGGGCTTATTTTGGCCCAAGCCTTCACCTTTTCACATAGGAGATAATAAATGACTAAGGCTGAGCTTAATTATGTCAGAATCGACAGGAGAACTAAAACCCCTGGCCAGATATGAGCAACAGAGACTTTCAAACACTCTGCCTAGTGTCCCAACAATTATCAGATTCACCCTCCACTATACATGTGACTGTTCCTCCTTTTACTGCTAGCTGGCTGGAAGAGGAGGGCAAATGGAGGTTTAGAAAAACAGGAAAAGGGGTTAGTGGTTTAAAAATGATTCAAAATCCAGGAGAGATGTAGAACTAGAGGCCATCCGGGAGGTTGCAGTAGTTACTGTGGTTACAACAGATGAGCTCTGTCCTCTTTTCAAAGCTCAAGAAGTTGATGTCTTCACAGTTGGTCATACAAGACAGTTTTGAATAATGGTACATACTGTTCCCTGTGGAGGTAAAAAAAAAAAAAAAAAGGGAATACAACTATAATGACCTTGCTTCCTCCTGACAAATTCCTAGGAATAACCTGTCTTCAAATCCTTACTAACCTTTCTCCAGGCCCAAATGAACTCCAAGGCTGAGTCTATTAATATTGCTTCTCAGAGGGTGGATTTTGTTCCCTAATAGACAATAGGCATCAGCCTCCCTTTGCACATATTATCTTAAGGAAAAGTTCATCTTTACCACCCCTTCTACCTAACAACCCCAACCTCACCCATCCCATTCACCCACTCACTCTGAGGACAAGAGGACACTACTGCTTGTTAGAGAAGGTGGTGTTCATTTCCCTACCTCCCACATTACCTCTCGTGGTGAGCACATAGATGTTCTCAACAGCACAGGACTGTCTGTGCTTCAGGTGGCAGGATTTCATGATGTCATAGCACAACCCAAGATGATATTTTCCACATTTATAACACTGTACTGTTTCTGTCTCTGCTAGACACACACACACCCCAAAAAAAAGTGCTTAGAGGATGTAGTCTGGAGAAGTTTTCTGGGCCTGGGGGCTCTGCTACACTCTCTTACTCCTGTCTGGTGGTCTATAACCTTTCCTGGGTCATGGACCCACTCAATCATCATGTGAATGATAACCTATACAAACATAAATCAAATGCTGTGTATGATTTCAGGAGGTCGGGGTTCTTAGGAAATTTATCCATGGACTACCAGTAAAGAACCCCTCATCCAGCCAGGCAGCAAAGAAGAGAATCTTAGTCTCTCTACTTCTAAATGTACAAATGACCTGTCTAACTAGGATTTCAGACAAGCCATGCTTGTACCTTTTAGAGGGCCTTGATGATCACCTATGATGAGAAGAAAAGTCTTCCCTGTTATAAGCTCACACGCATCTGCAACAACTCCAAGAGCCAATTTTGGAAACCTCCCCTATCTCTTAACCAACCACCAGCTGCACCTCTATCTCCAGGACTTACCCCAGTATGGGTAGAGCAGAAAGACTGTGCCCAGCAGAAGCAGAGGAAACATGCTGGGACTTTGGTCATGTGCAGCTTCCTGGGAAAGCTGGTTGTCCCCCTCCTGTGCTCTGCCCTTGGGCTAGTCATTGAATCATATACTCGTAAAAGATCAAAGACAGACAGTACCTCAATGTTCCCAGAGCTGAGCTACCATATCCAATGTCCTCATCACATTCACTCTGATTTTTCATCAAGCATTTAATGAAAATAAAATTGTGACCTTCCTCCTACTTCAAGCTTGCTCCTACTTCAGTGCTATAGGTCTTAGCAAATCTGGGGGGTGTTCTTTACAACTCCCCATGTGCCCCCCTCAAGGAAGAGTATGATGGTAAATCTTATCCATTCTACCTACTAACTTCTCCCCACAGGAGAGGAAACATTATCCTGTTTCCACTGCTGTTACCATAATCTGATTCATCATCATCTCTTGCCCAGACCAAGTAATAACCTTATTTTGGGGATTCGCTGCTCCTATTTTTTCCCTTTGCAATAGTTTCTTCATAAAGCAGTCAGAGAACCCTTTTATAGGTCAGAGATGTCACACTCCTGCTCAAAACCTCTCAAAGAGTTTTCATTACCTTTAAAAGAAAACCCACAGTTCTTATCATAGCAAAGCCTTCCTCATTTGAGCCACAGACACCTCTCCTTTTCCAACACATTCCCCCTTTCCATTCTGGTCTTTGCTCAGATGTACTTCAGACAGAGCAGCATTTCCTGATCAGTCTCTAGAAACAGCAACCTTTGTTCTCCACTCTTTTCCTGCTTTATATTTTCACATTTTTATAGCAGTTCTGGGGGATGTTCCCAGGTGAAAGATTCCTTTCTATACACAATTCAAAATACAAAACCATTTTTAAAAAAGATGTGTTCGGCTATACTAAGAAATATCTTCTAAATGAGGGAAAAACAATAAAGTTTTCTCTTTCAAAATGTTTTAAGAAAAGAAAGAAAATCTTTCTTTCTTTCTTTTTCCAGAAAAAGGAAACTTCTCTTATTAGAACAGATACCTTAAGGTTTATCCTCTTGAAAGACAAGGAACATCTGCTTAATAGAGACTTCCTATTCTCTATAAAAATATTTTTTTAATGTGATGATTTACAACCCCCCTTCTGGTAAAAGTTGATATCTTTAATGCCTGATGACACAATTTCCTTTAGAGTTGAGAAGTCTTTCCTAAAACCAGTGAGTGGCCATGATGTGCAGAGATTCCTTTTTCACTGCAAAATCTGATGATTATGAAACATTGAAGGTGTTTCTTCTGTGAAAAGAGAAGAGAAGCTTTTGTTTACAATTAGTTGTGTCTGGTAGAACAGCCATTTTACCACTACTCCTAAATGTAGTTTCCCCCAAAATCTCATAATGTAATATTTGTTCTTTGGTGGCTGCCACAGGCACAAGCAAAACCCAAAGAAAGAATGGGAAATGGTTATGCTGAAAGATGCCTCCCATTTCCAATGGTAAAGTGAAGGAGAATGGCAACATGCCAGGTCCCCAATGACTACTTGAAAATTTTAAGACAAATATCAACTATTCTATTTCAAAAGGAAAATGGATGATAGATTGCACCTCTGTGGCAGCCCACAAACCACCTTAGTTTAATAAAGTTTGCCCAATAACACAGAGCTCTTTTTTTTTTCTTAGCAACCTGGTAAAGTCTATGAAGAGGTCCAAGAAAAAAGATTTTGTAAAATGGAAAAAATACATTCCGAAATGTGCCTATTTTTTCCAATTAAGCTTTCTTATCAGGAAAAAAACCCATATTTTGAGATACATTTTCAGGACAGAGGTAAGATACTCTTTCATTTTGTCAGGTTTCATACTTTCATTGTCAAGAATGCTCTCACACAAATAAAATGAGGGGGACTTTTGTGTCCTAACAAGGTAAAAAAGTATAAATGAAATTATTTTATTCATTATATTTTGATCATGAAAAATTACTCATATCAGAAATTAATAAAAATTAAAAATGTAATTTTTTTTGGCAGTTTTTGGCCGGGGCTGGGTTGGAACCTGCTATCTCTGGCATATGGGGCCGGCACCCCACTCCTTTGAGCCACAGGTGCTGCACCCCAAAATGTAAATTTTCTATCAAAGTTTATGAACCCTGTGAAACAAGGAGGACACTAGATCCTCTATTCGTAAACCTTACTTGGGAATATAAGTAGGGAACTAACAAAAATCTGATACTCAACACACATAAAAACAGCCTATAAATGGTTCCATGAGGGCTTTTGCAACTTTTTATTATCCATGTGACTTATCACCTGAAGAAGCATCATATTAACAGCAATGTAGTGAACAAAGCTTGAATTTTAGTGACACTAAGCTTGAACCCCAGTTTTACTTCTTGCTTGAGACTTCACTATCAGATCTTTGTAAGGGTTCCATAAGACAATTTATGTGGAAGCAGTTAGCCTTCTGCATTGCCTGTAATAACTACTCAGCAAATGTTGCTTTTTCTCCTTTTTCCTTTGCCTCTCTCCCCACCAGCAACTGGAGGTGAAGGGGCTGGACGTGAACTCTGATTTCCCTGGGCCCTGCAAGTAAGCACTGCCCACCAGACTTTTTTTAAAGAATCATTATCTCTCACTCTGGTTGTCTTATACACTGTGCAAAATCAATGCTGCCCATGTGAATCCAGGAACACAGTAGTCTGATCTCTAACACTATGCCAAAATCCATTTCCCCAAAATAAAAAGCAGCACTTAGAAAGATCACCAAGATCTCAGTCACCCACCCTGGAGCCAAGAGAGACTATGAACACGGGGACACAGTGTTCTGTTTTCCAGTCCCCAGAGCAGGGCAAATGGGATCTATAGAGAGTGGAAGGCCCTCTTGGCATGGAGGTACATTGATCTGGGTGCTGTCCCTGACACAGAATGTGAGGAGCTTCAGAATAACAGAACTTGGACCCATCCTCAGGATGTATGTCATAGAACCACTGAATGTTAAAAATAGTCAAGATCTAACATCACAGATAAATGACTTGCTAAAGATATGATGAGTTATGTAGTAATCATCCACAAATCTCCAAATTCCCAAGACAGTGTTCTTTCTACTGTGCTGCACTACCTCTGTCATTGGTTCTGACACCCATCCTTCCCTCCTTCATGATAAATGAAGAAAGAATTTGCTTTCAAGAGAACATTGGATAGACATGGTACTGCAGGAGGATGAGGAGTCAGGACATCCCAATATTTGGATGGAGTTGCAAAATTCCACAATCCTAACTAGAAACAATCTGGAGATTCAAAACTCAATTGGCCTTTCAAAAAGAATTGCCAAGGAGAACCTTGAAGGAAGAAGGCTAGAAACTGTACCAATCTTCCTCAGTTTAACCCAGAATGTTGCCTCATTTGCTCTGATGCTAGTATTGCTCTGTATCTTTAGACAGAGGATAAAGCTGAGAAATGACAAATGAAATACCCTGTAAATGAGTGACTATATTTCACCCCATCTCCATCTGATGTCTAAAAATATCAGACTCAGTTTGTTTTAATGATACATGTGTCAATTCAGTAGGAAATATTTCTATTATCTCTACCCTCCAAAGGCTTATGGTTTGCCTTCTCAATAAACCCGGGAGTGCTCTGAAAAAATGCCATTAAGTTTCTAACACTTTCTCCAGAAATACAGCAGAAAAAAAAAAAAATAGATCCAAAGACTTCACAACCTTATTCTCTATTCCAGAATCAATTCTTTTTAAAGAAACCAATCCTCACATGTCTACGTCTCTAGGACTTCTGGATCTCTTCTTAGGTAGAGATGGGGTTCACATTCTGATTGGTCATAGAAAAGAAACATTGCAAATTTTATGGCATTTGACCTAAGACTATATTTCACCCCATCTTCATCTGATGTCTAAAAATATCAGACTCAGTTTGTTTTAATGATACATGTATCAATTCAGTAGGGAATATTTCTATTATTTCTGGCCAAAGTACCATCAGCTGGTGGGCTGATGATTTAGGAGAGACAGAATGCCAGGACTGGTCTCAGCTTTCCAGCACTTTACCTGTGGTGAACCTTAACTGAGGCAGCTTTCATAGAGAAAACTGCCAAGACTCAAAATATAAATCTAAAGATCAAGGAATGAGATAATTCTAGGGAAGATTTAGGACAGCTTTCTTTCTTTTTTTCAAGACAGAGTCTCACTTTGTCACCCTCGGTAGAGTGCTATGGCGTCACAGCTCACAGTGACCTCCAACTCTTGGACTTGAGCGATTCTCTTGCCTCAGCTTCCTGAGAAGCTGGGACTACAGGTGCCCGCAGCAACGCCTGGCTATTCTTTTGCTGCAGTTGCCACTGTTGTTTTAGTTGGGTGGGACTGGGTTGGAACCCGCCAACCTCGGTATATGGGGCTGGCGCCCTACCCACTGAGCCACAGGCGCCGCCCAAGGGACAGCTTTCTTATAAGGGAAAGAGTAGGATGCAGGCCCAGCTTGTTCATCCTTTTCAGTCTTGTTTCTCACCTGAGGGGTGAGGTGAGTTTGTCTGTCCTATTTACTGCTCTGTTCTCACTCATAAAACTTCCTGGCATATAAAAGCTCTCAACTGATGTTTGTTGAATGTTCAAATAAATCTCAAAAAGGCTTTGAATCATTGTGGTGAAAAGGGTTAATTCTGTAATTAGAAAGTGTTGCTTTGAGTATCATTCATGAGATATGTGAGCATGGGTAATCTTCTGGTCCTCACCAAGCCCCAATTTCCTACTCTGTGCAATTGGGGTAAGAATAACAGTATTATAACTGTAGTAATAATTATTACTGAGATGAAAATTATATATAACACAGTTAGCTCAAGGTAAATACCCACATTTATTAATTATCATTATTTTATGATGTCAGGATGACAGCCAATTAACTAGAGCTCCAGGAGAAAACCCCATGTGACTGGCTCCCTTTGGGAACGAATGAGAGCCAATGAGAGAGAAAGCTTCTCCCTGGGAGCCTGAAGACCTGTGTTTGCAGCTTTCTTCTGCACAGTAACTGCTGAGCTGTGATGAGCAAGCACATCCTGTTGCTATTCCCTCTGTGCTGCCTCATTGTGGGTGAGTCCCAGGCCTGAAGAAGGGGCTCCGGGCAGGATCTGGGGAGCCCAGGTAAACTCTAACGCATAGCATGTGCCTGTGCAGGGCTGCACTTTGACCACAGCCATGAGGAAGGGAGGCCAGTGGCCCTCAGAATGCTCCCTCTGCCTCCCTGCCAGCTCTCCTGTCCTTCCCAGGGTTTGGCTATCCTCCCCACCCCAGGACATTCAAGGCTCTGCTGCTGCCCTGTTGTCCTGCTTCCCCTCTGTCCCTGCTACTCCTCATAATTCAAAATGATGGCAAGATTTTTCTTAGGACATCTTTTTGTTTTGTAAATCTATATCCCATTTGCTGCAGGAACTGGCCACTGGACAATGAATAATTTTGTAATTTCTTTCAGTCCTTTCCAGGGACTTTACATTAGTAATTACAACTAATTTACAACTAGTAATTCTTAGAGAGGAAACAGTGCCCAGGAGTCAAACAGAATTTTTAAAAATGGCTTTTAGTCACTTTCTTAAATTCTCTGTACCTTTTGTTGCTCACTTGAGAAATGAGGACAATAATACCCTCTTGTAAGAACTCAGAGAAGATTAAATCAGATATGGTTTGAGAGTCCAAGGCCTAAATGACATGCTCAATAATTGCAACTTTCTGTTCTCATTTAGGTGCACCAAGGAGGAATTTTTTAAAAAATTAAACTTGTATTTTTGAATAGTTCACCGCATAGAACTTCATAAAGGTGTCACCAACTGTACTTTAATTCAGTGAGCCTTTCTGTAGATTTAATCCAAAGCTTAAAATAACAGAAGACATGAATATCATATAGCAATATCCAAGCAGCCATACACAACACAAAACAAAGCTGAATGTCAGAAGTCCCATAATATTAACATTAGCTTATGTAAAATATTTTATAGTACTTCCTCAGTCTTCCTATCATATTCATATCTCTCTATAGCTCTGTCAGATAGGTCAGGCCAGCATTCACAGCACTATTTTTAAGCTAGAAATCAACATCATGGAGACTAAATTTTACTCAAAGTTATCCAGATTAAAAAGGCTGAAGTTGAGAACAGAATCCTTTTATTCACACAGTGGCATTTTCTTCTCATTACTGTGCAATAAGAAACTGGAGAGAGTCCCAACAGCTTACTGCCCAAATGCCCTATCACTAGCTGCCCCTTCACCCACCCACCCCAGTCTGGATATTTCCAGCTCTGTCTCAAGTCCCTGCCTCTGCCTGGCCTCACACCAGCTCTGTGCTCTCTCCAGCAGTGACATCACTTAGATGCATGACATGTCACCTTCGCACACCGACAGACCACTGTAGGAGAGGTTTTGGTGTCTGTATTGCTCAGAAGTATGAGACATGCATGCTCTTAAAGATCTTTGAGGGTAAGTTAGAGGGTCCAGGGAGATACTGTGAGATTCTTAGAATTCTTAGAACAGGGGCAGTGCCTGTGGCTCAGAGGAGTAGGGTGCCAGCCCCATATGCTGAAGGTGGTGGGTTCAAACCCAGCCCCGGCCAAAAAAAAAAAGAAGAATTCTTAGGACAGTGTTTCACTAAATGTAGATCTCAGGAGAAAAGGTGGAGAATACCCTGAGCATAGGTAGCACAGGTCCCTGAGCATGCAGACAGAAGAGGCTTTGTAACAGTGAGACAGAAGGAAGAAGGTGTGGGGTCTAAATTTCCAAGAAAACGAACCAGATATATTTTTTATTGACACATAATAACTGTACATATTTATGGTATATATGTTATATTTTAATACATGTATACAATATATAATGATTAAATGAAGTAATTGGGATATCACCACTTCAAAATTTCTTGTGTTGAGAACATTTCATATCTTCTCTTCTAGTTATTTTGAAATATATGCACAATAAAGAAAATGTGACATATATACACAATGCAATGTTATTCAGCCAGAAAAAAAGAAAGAAATCCTGTTATTTGTCTGGGTAAAGGACATCATGTTAAGTGAAATAAGACAGACACAGAAAGACAGATATCACATGTTCCCATTTATATGTGGGAGTTTTTAAAAAGCTGAAGGTAGATAGAATAGTGGTTATCAGAGGCTGAGGAGGGTACAGAGGGGAGGTGCAGTGAAGAGAGGCTCATTAATGACCAAATGTTCAAACAGATTTTGGCTTATTTGACTATAACACAGGCATTAGTTGCCAGTCTTCTAGCAAGAAAAGGAATGAAACCACCGCTTAACAAAGAGTTAAGGATTGTCAGGGACCTCTGGCAAACAAGACCCGCAACTGGCCAGTGATTTCTGCATTTCCCTGCCCAGGTGCACCTACCTACCCTGGTGCCTGATTAAAATTTCGCTAACAAAATTAGAGCCAGGTTTGACTAACCTTGGATAACTTATATCATTGCCTTATTTTCTATGTTGTTTTTTTTTTTTTAATTTCAGGTGATGCTCTCCAGATATCATACATGGTGTGTCAGAAATTCTGCAGAGACTTGGAATTTAATCTCAATAATCGAACTTATGTTCATAAATGCTGCAATTACAGTTATTGTAACTTCAAACTCTAAGCTCTTTGCCCTTCTGAGTCTCACTTGGGATGTCACTGTTTCTCACCCTTCATACTTGGCCACCCCTGCTTTTTGGCTCTTTCTGTCTTAACAATATCCCTGCTCTCTCCTTAATTCTATGTCATCTTTCCTGGTCCCTTTAGCTTGGCTCTTCCCTTGGTCAGTGGATAATAGTTCTGAACAATGGATTTCTTCTATTACAAGGATTATTGGCATCTCCATACTTTAAGAAGCCTTTCATAAGAGGCTTTGTACAGTGAAATTTAAAACAGGATCATGTTAGAAGCTTTTGATTAGCTTAGATAGTTGAGGTGGGTTTGAAAGACTTCAGCTAAAAATTCACAAATATTTTTAACTGAAATTCCCATGTATCATACAATGATTTAGCAGAAATCACAACAACAACAACAAAAAATGAATGGTAGACACTGAAGATTTTCCTACATGGACACAAAGTCTACCAGTAAACAGTGCCCACTTCAATCTCAGTCGTGATTTTCCTGACACTTTCAAAGTACATCCTTACACGTGTTAGCAGGAGTCACACTGTCATGACATTCAGAACTCACACACAGCCCTACTGTTCCCATGCAGGAGCACATCCCAAGCACGTCACAGCTCTCCTTTCTTTGTCTTTCCTAGTGCTGCTCTATTCCTATACTCCTTGCCATTCATCTCCTCTATTACCTCCCCCTCTCCATTACTACTACCCCATTGCCACACAAACTCTCTCTAGAAACAGGCTGTCCCTCAAAGCTCTGATCCACATATCACATGGCCACTGACACATGGAACTCAGGCCAGGCTGTCTTTCAGGACCCCTCATCTATGAGGAAAAGTGGAGTATTCACAGTCAAGATCAATTTTTTTGGGGGGGTGGTTTTTGGCCAGGGCTGGGTTTGAACCCACCACCTCTGGCATATGGGAGCAGTGCCTTACTCCTTTGAGCCACAGGCCCTGCCCAAGATCAGTCTTTCTTGAGCAGCATTTTTACGTCTCAAGAACCACCTCACCATAGGTCCAAGACTCCTTCTGTCCTTTGCTGCCCACCTATAAATAATAAAGCTTTGTTCTATAACTTCCCTGGGTGTGCTGTGCCTCCTGGGACTCAGACAAATAGGTAAAGCATGCACAGTGGGCCTGAACAGCAGGCCAGTGCACAGCAGGCAGAAGTAAATGGGCTCTGTTTCTGTGATTGGCAGAGTAATGATCTTTCCTGCTCTTCACACAGCAGGAACCCTCACTCAGAACTGGTAATTAGCACTGCACTCTGTCCCCATAGAGTAACTTTATCCATTCTTCAATTTCTTATAAATGAAATCACACAGAAGGTATTCTCTTGAATCCAGCTTCTTTCACCTACCATAATATTTTTAAGATTTATGCATGCTGTTGCTCATATCAAAAGTTTATTCTTTTTTATTTCATTGTATGCACATACTGCATGCAATTTATAAGGAGTGGAATTTATGAGTCACAGGGGGAAAATATACATAACTTTATTTATTTACTTATTTATTTATTTGAGACAGAGCTCACAGCAACCTCCAACTCTTGGGCTCAAGCTATTCTCTGGCCTTGGCCTCCCAAGTAGACAGACTACAGGTGCCTGCCACAGTGCTCGGGCTATTTTTTAGAGATGGGGCCTCACTCTTGCTCAGACTGATCTCAAACCTGTGAGCTCAGGGCAATCCACTGGTCTTGGCCTCCCAGAGTGCTAGGATTACAGGCCTGAACCACCACTTCCAGCCTGAAAAATATACATAACTTTAAAAGAAACTGCCAAATAGTTGGCCAAAATGGTGGTGCCCATATGTACTCCTACTAGGACTGTAGGAGAGTTCCAGTGACTCCGTGCACTTCTTATCACCAATTATTGTCTGTCATTTTAATTTTAGCTGTGCTAGTATGTGTGGAGTGGTATCTTACACTTTCCTGGTAATTAATACTGTTCAGCAATTTTTCATGCTCCAAATTTACCTGTGTTTCCTTCTAATATTTGTTGATTTAAATTAACATTTAGATTCTCCCTTTGGAATTTATCCTTCAAACAAATTAATATTTTTGAATGTATTTCTAAATGTCCTTCCAGTTAGCCCTAAAATACTTAAATGTTTGGTTTTTTGTTCAACAATGGAGATGCCTATTTTATACTACATTTAATTTTCAGTAGCACTTATTCTATTCTGTAACTTAAGTTCTTCTCTCTATTATTCCCGCCTTACAATATACACCAAAAAAACAAATTCAAATGGATTGTAAACTGAATTTGAAAGGTAAAACAATGAGACTTCTAGAAGAAAGCATAACATGTCTTATGACTTTGAGATAAGCAGAGATTACTTGAACATGATCTAAAAAGCACAAACCATTTTTAAAAATTGAGAACTTAGACTTCATTATAATTAACAATGTCTATTCATCAAAATTATCATTAAGAGAGTGAAAGAAAAAGTTAAAGACTAAGAGAAGATAGTTGCAATATTTATATCCTACCTAAATCTTATATCCAGAACATAAAAAGAATTCTTACAGATCAATTCAATAATGACATACTACCCAATAAAAGGACAAAATACTTGAACGAGTGCTTCACAAAAGAGAATATCCAAATTGTCAACAAGTATTTTAAAAATATAGCTGATAAGACTGTAAATTGGTACAGTCATTTAAAAAAAATCATTTCTATTCTCATCAATCTCATCACAGGTGCACCACATGACTCAGCTATTTGACCCTACATATATAACCAAGGGAAATGAGTGAACAGGCTCACCAAAAGGCATTTATAGGAACGTTCAGAGGAAGAGACATGGCCAAGAGAGATAATGGAATTTGTTTAAGTCACATAATCACATAATCCTAAACCAGGATTTCAGCTCTAATCCAAGATTTGTCTTTTCCCTCCATGTCACTCCGGACAACTGGGAAGGCTGTTCGGGCTCCCAAATTCCCCTTCTTTCTTTAACAGAAATTAGCTCACTAGAAGCCAGTGTGTATTTCCTGGGGTCCACATTTCCATTTGAATTCTTCGATAACAGGCTTAGGTGTGATAAATGTGTTACATTTATTCCTTTAAAATGCCAAAGAATTAATTAATAGTCTCATAGTCTGCTACTTTTCCAGAAATAATTTTAATTAAAATCCTAACCACCTAGAGCCCTTTAACTGTTTCCATCCGTGTCCAGCCTAAATCAGATCAAAAAATTCCTTTAATAGCTGTTTCTCCTTCCTTGAAGTCATTGGACATAGCTATTGCCCTTTCATTAGACAAACAATAACCCTAAGAGTCCATTTTTAATCAATATACATATTCTCTAATAAAGAAATTCCCAAAAAGCTGAAAAAGATAAATAAATGTTCAGACCAGCTTTATTCATACAAGCTATAACCTATGAACAACCCAATTGGTTGTCAATGGTAAACAAAGTATGGTGTATTTATACAATGAAATTCTGTACTACAATATAAGGACAAACTATTGTAATGTGCAACAACATGGATTTTTTTTTTAAAAAAACCAGGGACAACATGAGTGACAGCATACAATTTCATTTACATGACATTCAGAATAAGACAAATATATGATGATAGAATTCAGAAACATAGCTTTATTTGAGGATTAGGATATGTGCAGGAACAGAAGGAGCTTTACCTCAAAAAAGAATTTTAGACTACCATTTGAATCATTAAGTAAATCTTTTCAAGAAGTTACTCTGACAAAGCTTTGTAGTTGATTCCAATATTTGTAAAGGTTAGCCTCCTTCATTGTTCTTCTTCCTCATTTTTCTGAAATTCTTTGCTTGTCTATTCTCTTTTTAATTTCCAATTAATGTGAGGGTATGAATGATTAGGTTACATTTGTTTGTGTAAGTAAAGTCCAAGTTGTAGTTGAGCTCTTCACCCAGGATATAGTGCCCTATACCCCTACATTGTGCCCATTAGGCGAGAGCTTACCAATCTCCCCCTCTCCACCTCCCTCCCTCCAGTTGAGTTTGTGTTTTGCACTCCTGTGAGCATGCAAGTCTTCATGTACTAGCTTCATATCAGTATTGAGTACACTAGATACTTGATTTTCCATTCTTGTGATACTTTACTAAGAAGAATGTTCTCCAACTCTACCCAGGTCCATACAAAAGATGTAAAGTCTCCATCTAGTTTATGGCTAAATAGTATTTTGTGGCATATACCACAGTTTATTAATCCATTCAGGAGTTGACTGGCACTGGGTTGTTTTCACATCTTTGCAATTGTGAATTGAGCTGCTATAAACATTTTCCTACTATCATGTAATCTACAGGCCTCCATCCAACATTCATTAATTTTGAAGTGACATTCTTCATAGCAATGTGCAATCTACGATCACTATATTGCACTTATTTGCTACATCTCTTTAGTCTTCTCTAATCTAGAATAGTTCCACAATCTTTTTTTTTTTTCATTTTCATCCTCTTAATACCTCAAACAATTACTGGCTAGTACTTTGCAGAATTCTCCTCAAGGCGGGTCTATACCATGTTTCTACCAGATTAGATTCAGGTTATAGAATTTGGCAAGAACATCACAGAAGTGGTACTGTGTTCTCAGTGCATCATATCTAGATGCACTAGATGCATGATTTTTTTTTCATTACTAGTGATGTAAATTGATCACAAAGTGATTTAGAGAAAGTGATTTATATAAAGTTTATATATTTTCCCTTTGTAATTAACAACTATTCTGTGGGGAGATTCTTTTAAACTATATGAATGTCCTATTATCTTTCCACTTTCACCAACTAACTTACCTGTTAGTGTTTTTTGACTGACTTCTTAGCATGATTTTTGCCAGGTGATGATTTTTCAATTTCAATATCCCTTCAATGTTTGTGAGTTCTTTTCCGCCTAAGAATCATGCTCTAATTTTGGAAAAGAAATTTTAGTGCCTATTCCTATATTTCTGAGATCTCTGAGGGCTTTAGGCCACTCTGGTGGACCCTGATTTTGTCTATGACACTTTCCTTTTGCTATCCTAGTTGTTCTGTCTTTTATAAAAGGTTTTATGGGGGCTCATACTATACTTCTACCTCCAATGAATCCCAGCTGAAAATCTTGGGACTACCTTGATATTCCTAAGCAAAGCCTTAAAATCAGCCAATGAATGCCAAGGCAGGTATCCTTGGCCTTCCTAACTTAGCTTCTTTTCAGGGTCTGCTCATAACATCCTTCTTATGGGCTGTTTCTCATGAATAAGAGCCAGTGGGCAGGTCACCCTGCCAGAAAATATGTATTAAAACCACAATTAATTATATACCCACATAGCTAAAAACAGTGCACATAATTTTTTGCCAACTTTTCTTCATCAGCAGCATTCTACCAGCTTAAATTGGGTGATCCACAGATATGTGTTTAACATTCTGAGGAAAAATTTTGAAATCTTCAGCAGGTACTTTAGAGCTCAGTCTATAGAAAAAAAAAATGAGATCAAATTTTAAACCCCAGATTATATAATGTCTCTAGATCAGGATTTTCAACTGGTGTCCCTCAGGGCACACTGTGTGCCATGAAAATTTATAAAGGTTCACTAATTAAACTATTTTCAAAAGAAGTGCAAAGCGCAGTAAGTATATTCTTTTTATTATTCTTTTTTTTAATCAACATAATTTAAGTGTGCTATGAGTTGTCAAAAGGTTGAAAAGCACTGCTCTAGGTGAATTCTAGAGATTATGAAGTCTTCCTCCTAATATTCCAATCCATCCATGACTTTTGCAAAATTTAAAATATAACACAACTTTTGAGATGTGGTTTTCAGGTATTTTATTAATAAATGAACATTTTAATGTTGTATTTCTATCATTTTACACATATTTATACAAACGAACCCATGTTCTTCCCAATGTTACAAACTCCCAGGATTTAGTTTCATATAATAAGTTAGTTTTCCCTTGACAATGATCAATTTTGCCACTGTAGGTACACCACCAAGCAAGAGATTTTTGCTTGCTGGTGGACCTAGAAGTTCTAGTATTCTTGGCCAAAATATAGAACTAGGGAACTTGCTCAGCTTCCCATCTCCTTTACTGTCCCCTTTACTTTCCATTTGTTTTTGTTGTTTTTAAATATAAAGAACAGAGATTTATTCTGATTGGACCAAGAAAATGGGGTAGGAAATGGGGATAATTGTGACATGGGGCAACAAAGAATTCAGTTATCTCACAGAAATCCAAAACAAGTCACAAGTTCAGGAAAACTGGACCCAGGTACAACTCTGAGGACAGTGCCACAGTGATTTATAAATCTTCACTTCAAGCTTATCTGTTAACATGTGTTATTCAGTCTCTACCCATCTGCATCACTCAGTGTCTACTCTTCACTATCTACATTGTGTCGCCTCTTTAATCTGAACCTTCTTCTTACTGTTTGTCTCAACATAATTTTTACTGGCTTGGGACCACTCTAGACACTAACCACACATCACAGTAATTTCTTCATGAACCATTACTATTTTAGGACCTACTACCAATATCTCTATTCTGTCCATTTAAACTAACCAACTGTGAATGAAAGAATCTACCATATTTTCTATTTCTCAAGATATTAAAATATAGTATTCTATCCTAACATTACACAATTTGGGAGAAATCTCATCACATACATTGAAAATATTTTCAAATTAATTTGTAGATATATTTTGTTCTACTTATGTAAATACAAATACCGTAGAAACCAATACATAATTACAACCCTAGAAATCAAGAGGGATACTACTAACTCTTGGATAATACTACATATAATGTATGTAATTTTATAGCTAAAAAATAAATATAATAGTGCCTATAGATTCTAATACATAGGCAGTTTAACAATTATAAAATGTATAAATCGAAAGTCAGTCAATAACCATTCAGGGATTAGTCATTTCATGGCTTTTTAAAAGAAAACTATAGTGATAATCTGAAACTCTTATCTGTCCCTAACATTTTCTGTTGCAGGGGTAGGTCAATAGGTTAATAAAACCTCAGCTTTTATCACTGAATGAAAGGCCATATTTGAATATTTTTGAGGACTAGGTATCTTTCACATGCTGTATTAGTCCATTTTCTATTGCTTCAACCAAACACCTGTGACTGCATAACTTGTAATGGACAGAAACTTATTTAGTTCATGGTTCTAGAAGCTGAAAAGTCCAAGAGCATGGCACCAGAGTCTGGCAAGGGCTTTTTTGCTGCACAGTGATGTGTGGAAGGGCAAGAATATGGAAGACAGAGTGAGAAGAAACTGAGCCACTCTTATCCTTTTTATCAGGATCCCACTCGCACCATAATCTCACCCATGCCAGTGATAATCCATTCATGAGCTAACACCTCTGAAATGTCCCACCTTCCAATATCATTACACTGCCAATCACATTTCAACATGAGACTCTCAAACAATAGCATGTGCTTAGAAAGCAATTGGCCAACACTGCCTGCTACACTTGGCTTAGCTATGAGAGCCAGGGAAGATTATTGAAGACCCAATGGCCTAAGGCTATGTGGTCAGAAGCAGCTGTGGTCAATTTGGTCCCCACTGGTGCTGGCATTCTGACTCTTATGCCTAGTACATTGACTATTCCTTTCACATAAGTTAGAGAATGTTTTCTAATGTCACACTGACTTTCCCAAACCCCTGCTTACTGTAACTCCTCCCTGCCCCCAACAAATACCTCTTCTACTCCACTTCCAAATAGTTCTCTCACAATCTCCTAATTCCTTGTCCCAATTTGTATCCAATCTGCTTTTTCCTGATCTTCCACCAGAAGCTCTACCATTAAAAAATACCTTGCTCCCTTAGCAAGAGACTTTAAAATTCTAGCTTTAGCCCAGGTTTAGTCAAAACTCAAAGGCAATTAGAGAATGCCAAGAGATATCATGTAACAAAGACTGAGGCCTCCAACCAGAAGGCAGAAACTGGTTTTTTTATGACCTATAGTTTTACCCTTTCCTATTAATGGAAGCATGGACATTGAAAAGACAGAGCTTCCATAGGTAGATCTACTAGAAGAGAGAAGAGAATGGAGTCTAGGTTTGGAGAAAATGTAATATGATGATGCTATTGAGTCAAAAAAAGGCCAAGACCTTATAAGGGGATACAGTTCAAAAATTTTAATCTTCATTTTTTTCTGAACTAGCAGCCACCAATTCGTCTTCATGCTCTAATCCAGGTATCCTTGTAATTTCTAAATTATTGAAGCCATTATTACACCTGTTTCTATCAGTGCAGCAGACTGTTTCTCTCAGGAGGTCATGGAATAATTGGGTCATTCCCTCCTCACAGATTTTACAAGACAGTTTTGAATAACGAAACAGGTATCTCCCTAAAGAGAAGAAAAGCACATCACTCAGTTTGCCCATCTCATCATCTTCCTAGGAATAGCTTTTCTCCAGAACTTCATCAGTTTTATGTAAACTGGACTGAATCCCAAAATTGTGTCTGCATCGTCTCTAAGTATCTCCAATCATGACCAGGCAAAAGACACCTACCTCCCACATAGCCTCCACACTCAGGTCTTTAAATGGTAAATCTCATTTCCCCACCCTCTCCTAGTATCCCAGACTCCCTCCCATCCTCTCCTATGATCCCCAGATACCTTCCACACCTTGACTCCAGGGATTATGGCCACCACTGATGATATTTTGTGTCTCTCTTTAACCCTCACTTACCTGATGAACGGTCACTATAGTAAAAATGCTCTGTGGCACAACTCCTGTTGTAACGATATATATCAAACTTCCAGCATTGTTTCATGCCACCAAGGCATTTGTATCCATCAAAGCGCTTACAGTCATTGCAATACCGAATCCCTTAAAAGAGAGAGGGAAGTTTTTAAAGAACCTCTCTAGGGAAAGTGATTCTGCATCAGAAGACTGCTCCCACCTGTAAGCATATTAGGGTAGTACAAACTTCATAAGAAGATCTGCATCCCATCCTCTGTCAGAGGTCCCTTATTTCCTCAAGTGTGTGACAGCTATGACTCCCAAGGAAGTCAAAGATACCCTTCCCAAGTTTGGGAGAAGAAAGAAGGCACTAGAGCAGTGAAGGAGGAGAGTGGAATAGAGTCAGGGAAGGGCTAGGAACAATGTGTTAAGAAATCAAGCACGTTCTCTCTCATTGTGACATATTCACCCAAGAACTGCAAACCAACTACACCGTACCTTTGCTTGTCAGAACTCTGTCTCCTGTGAAGATAAGAAGAAAAATTATCTTTAAATTATTTTACAGCAGCCCTAAAAGCCACATGTAGAAACCTCTTTCTCCCTCCCACGTATCCTTTCATATCCATCTTTGCCTGCCTCTCCAGGTCTCACCCTCATCCATGAAGAGCACCATGACTATGCCCTGCAGAAGCAACCGAAACATCCTGGGGCCTGGTCCTGATATGGTCCCAGTGGGAGGTTCCACCTTTATTTGTTCCCATCACCTGCCCTCAGGCATCCCACTAGAATCACAGAATCATAAATTTCAGCTCAAATCACCTGAATCCTCTCTACAATGTTCCCAGAAAAGGGTACACCCTGTCTGTGTTTGCATTCCTCCAGCCACTTAGAACTCAGCCTACCCAGACACCCCATTTCATTTTAGCAAATCTATCATAAGATACTAATTCACATTGGCAAAGAATCTTCTTCTTTTCACTTTGGCCATGTTTCTATTTGTTGGTCTACACAGAACATGTCCAACTCCATATCCAAACAATGTCTCTTAAAATGCATGGGAGCAGTGGGAAAAGACTGGGGTCTCCAGAATCTGTGAGAGTAAAGCTCTTTTCAGGTACCATAACCACTTTGGACACTTGCCTCCAATGGGACTATATCCCTCACAGAGCCTGATACTCCAGATATGGTCCAACAGCTTAGTGTAACACCCATCTTGGATGGATGGACAGGTAAACCCAAGTAAAGGGAATAAGAGGTGAAGACTAGCTCAGCTTCCCCTAAGCTTCATTTATTCATTTTTTTCAAGAAAGACAAAGGCTGTAAAGATTACAGTGGGAAATATTTACACTTATTGTGGCACAGTACCTGAAATCTAGGAGTTGGTCATATGTGTGAGTGGAGGGGAAGCTAGGGAGGGCTGGAAACAAGTCTTCCCACTGGTTCCATGCCTTCCCCCGACTTCCTCTGGAAGGTTTCACACTTTCCTGCCATCCCTCTTCCTGTTGTCAGGGGCCACCTTCTCAGTGAGGTGTATCCTGACCACTGTATATATAAAAGGGCAGGCTCTTTGGCCACACTTTTCTTGTCCCTTCTCTGTTTGATTTGCCCCAGAATACTTGACCCAATTTGTGATCCTATAGCTCTTCCCTCTTAATGTGAATTTTGCTTCTTTCCCTCATGGTGAAAGTTCCATGAATACCAGAGTTCCAGGCATTACATTCACTGCTTTCCCCTCAGACCCTAGGATCACATCACATATCACATCATCAGAAATATTTGCTGGGAAGGTGAATGGCATGATTGCCTATAACTAACTCGGGAGGCACAAGAGGATGGTGAAAAGTCTTTGTATGAACAGTCCCTGATTCTAAGCTGATAAGATGGAATTCCTTGCCTTCACCTTGCAGTTAGTAATCACTACAGAGAAATCAGGCAGTGGTAACAGCACATCCTTTGTGGTAAAAACAGGATGAGTGTAGACACATTTATCTGAGTGGTCTCATTCCCAGAGCATGACACATGCTACATCCAAGTACAATCCCTTACATAAACTTGACTATAAAGGTCCTGCCAACACACCTCAATAGAAGTGCAAATATGCTACCCACCTGCTGTGTGATGCTAAATAAGCTACTGAGCCTCTTTGTGCCTATGTGACCTAACTGGTAAGAACAAGGACAATCACAGGTGCACCTGAGGTGGTTGTTAAGACTTAATAAATTCAGCTCAGCGCCTATAGCTCAACCGGCTAAGGCGCCAGCCACGTACACCTAAGGTGGCGGGTTCGAATCCCCAGCCCGGACCCGCCAAACAACAATGACGGCTGCAACCAAAAAATAGCCGGGCGTTGTGGTGGGTGCCTGTGGCCCCAGCTACTTGGGAGGCGGAGGCAGGAGACTCCCTTGAGCCCAGGAGTTGGAGGTTGCTGTGCGCTGTAATGCCACAGCACTCTACCCAGGGGGACAGCTTGAGGCTCCTGTCTCCAAAAAAAAAAAAAAAATACTTAATAAATTCATATACAGGTAATGGGGCAAGGAAGAGAACAGACATTAAGGCTTTACTTGGTGTCAGACATTCTTCTGGGCATGTTACTCACTTGACATCTTTGGATTCTCTAAAAAATCTTGTGAGTTTCAAAGAAGTGACCTCATCTTACCAATGAAGATTGGGAGTTCTCCAAGTTGAAGTGTTTTTCCCAAAGTAACAAAGTGTGTATCTATCTGACTCCACAAGACCCGACCTTTCCACTACTCCATGAGTATTACAGTCTGGATAGGAGTTCCCAGGGCTGGAGATCCAGGTGGGTCTACCTTAGAATTATCATAACAAGAGGTGCAGTGATGGAGAACAGGTAAGAAAAGGCTCTCTCAGTCAAAGAAAAATTGGGTCTTTGTCTGCCTGCCAAAATGAAATGATTTCACCAGCAAAATCCCACTGAGGCTAGAAGGTCCCAAAGCTTAACTAGGATCTAAGATCTATGTGCCATTGTCAGGGAAGTGATGTCCACGGGGACCCTTTCCTGGGTCTTGCATTTGAAATGTGTGAGACACAGGCAGTAATCCACAGACAGAAGGCCCAGAAAGGCTGAGCTAAAAGTGTCATGCTCTGACTTTCTTTTCCTGAGCTAGGAAGATACTCTCGGAAGAGTAGTCTGTTCCCAGAGACTGAACATGTGTGTGTGAATCCCAGACTCCACACAACCCATTCCTTCTCTTACAGTTTGCCCAAGTTACCTTGACTATTACTCCCAGAAAAAAATAACAGAAATTTTTGAAATATATAAAACTTATTAATTCATAAATGAAAATCCACTTTTGCCCCTCATTCTGAAAAAAACAATATGAACTATTACACCACATCTCCATCCAATTTTATTTCTGGACACATGTCAGAACTTCATGCTAATAAACACTATCATAGTTGACATCATATTTGTGATATTTTGATTTTTACACCTAATATTTTACAGAGAAATTTGGCACCTTAAATCACTGTCCCTCCTAGAATGTGACACCCAGAATTAGGCAAGAGACTCAGGAGCCAGTCACCCAGTAAACCCTTGTGAAAAAAACTGGAGCTTCCAGACTCCACCACAGCTTTGGGTGAACTGCTTAGTCTACCAATGTATCTCACTTTCATTGCTTAGTAGTGTGATATGGGCCACAGACCACAGGCACCATGGAACACCTCTCCCCCACAAAGTTGAGGAGGACATGCTGTCCAATTTGCCCTTTCTTCCCACCTCTCATATCTGAGCCTCCAGAACTATTATGGCCCTGCCCTGAGTTTTCTCCGGGAGACAGAGCCTGTATCTTCCCTACCCCTGGCTCCTGCCCAAGGTGTCCTCATTCCTTGCTGCTCTTTCCTGGACCAGGGGTTGTAGGACACACTGTCCAGTCCCAACCCCTTCCTACCCAGAGGCACACCCTGCACCATCCCTATCCCTACAGAGAGAGGGAGAAGGTATGGATTTGAAGTCAAATTAGCTCCTGTAGTCAGTCCGAAGTTGTTTACTTTGTCCCTCTAGGGCAGGCGTCCTCAAACTACAGCCCGCAGGCCACATGCAGCCCGTCTAGGACATTTATCTGACCTGCTGGGTGTTTTTGCTGCCGTTGCCTGTCCTGCTTAGCAGCTGACTCGTCCCGGGGCCTGCAGTCCAGCCCTCCAGAGGTCTGAGGGACAGTGAACTGGCCCCCTGTTTAAAAAGTTTGAGGACCCCTGCTCTAGGGAAACAAAGGAAAATAAAATAAAAACAAAAGTCACCAGAAGAATGTTTCCCTACCCTGAGCAAGATCCTTTTCCACCACTCTGCAAACTCAGAAGAGCAGTGCTCATGTCTCGCTGAGCAGGGAAGAGACCTGAGGTACAGAATCATTGCATTTCCAGTAGGTTAGTGAGAAGACCAAGGCTGACCTCATGGTAGGGCTATTTTAGAGCCTACTCACGGGTGGGGAAGGAAGCATGTGACTAAGGTAAGGTAACGTCTTTCCTCACATCAAACCTGTCTCATTGCCAACCCTACAGAGCAGCTGGGGCCTAGACAAGCAGGCCTCCTGACCAAATCAGGCTGCCTCAGACTCCCTCTAGCTGCCTGGAGCAACCCCTGAATGTCCCACCTGCCTAGATAGACTCTATCTCCTGCATGGCTAACCCACCTCTGCATGGCTAACCCACAGCAGCCTCCAGAGCCCTGTTACCCTCCTGTTAACTGTCCCCCAAACTTTCTGGCCTTGAACAGCCTTGACAGCCCCACAGAAAGTACCATTTTACCAGATGCATAAATTATCAAGAGTTGGGCATAGAAGCAGCATAGCCAGTGTCTTTCATTTTACATGTCCAAAAAGGAGTCAGTTGAAAGTGTCACCACAATATAAGGAGGGAGACCCTGACCCACACTCCCTTCATTTTCAAACTAGGCACTGTGTCAGCAGGTGAGAGAAGCATAGAGTAGGAACTAGGGTCAGACATGGACTATGAGGCACCTTCTATCATTAAGGCAGCTCCTGCCCTGTGCTAGGCACAGGAGCTTAATGCACCCAGTTTGCTGAGAGCAGAATAGTGGGGAAGTCCCAATGAACATGACTGCCTTCTTCTCAGGACCCTCTCAGAGGCTTCCCCAGAAGGCCAGCTCCCACAATTGCACCTCACTTCCATCCCCAGATCTCAGTGCCTCAAATTGAGAGGTCTCTGCCCCATCCCTGCTCACCAGTCCATTCTAGCAGGCCAGCCTACAGCCTTCCAGGCCTTCACTGTGTGAGCAGCCACAACAGTCTGGGTGGCCAGCACAGTTACAGGCTCCTCAACATCAACCCCAGAGGGCACCCCTCACTGAGCTGACTTCTAGTGGCAAATGCAGCAGTGGCTGCTTGCTGGCCCTTCCTATTGCAACTGCCAGTGTCAGCAAGTCAAGCTAGGCAAGAGGAACTGGCTGTGACTCCTCCTGAGCTGTAGCTCCTGCCTGAGGAAGCCTAGGGGCAATGCCCATGAGAGTGACAAGCCAACTCTGGGCTCACATAAGCCTGTCACGTAGTGATACTGGGAAAAGGAGGCCCGCCACCATGTAACACGAATTGGTGAGCTTTGTTATTTTTATTTCCCCAAGCAAAAGTGAACCAAGTGCTGGCACTGGTTCTCCCCAAGGCCAAGCCATAAAGACAGGGCAGAGGCAAAAAATGGAAGACTTGGCATTTGGGATTCTCAGGA